CTAAAGTTCCCAACCCGTGCACACCAGAGGTTCTCTCGTCGAGATATAAAGCACAGATTCGTCCACTTCGTCCATGCGCATCATGTTGCTGCTGGCACTGACTTCTACACACCCCTGCTCATGCTGGAGCCCGAACGAGTCGACGCTGAACCTCCTTGAGCCTCCTCCTCCTCTCGTCTGCAGCACTCGGAACTTGAAGCTCTCTGAGGAAGGAGCTTGCAAGCTGTTGACTCCTCCTCGCAGGTCGGCGATGACGGACAGCAGCCCGAGCCCGCCAGTGAGGATGAAGAAGACCTGGACGATGCGGAAGGAGAGGGCGGCGGCGATGGGGTTGGAGCAGCGGAGGACGCTACCCAGCGGAACGTGCCGCATGGCATAGCGCAGCCTCTCGTCGGGAGAGCTCTCCGGGACAGAGTCTGTGCTCTGCTCGCACTTGCTGGGGGACGGGGAGTGGAAGGCGTCGGAGTCATCGAGACGGAAGAGCTCGAGCTCGTCGGCCGATGCTATGCTGAGATTGCGACACCTCGACATCATTCTCAAGGAGTCTGTCGGTAGGGAGATGAAGGGGACGATCTCTCTCATGGCGCTCTCCTCCTCCTGTCTTTGATAGGGCGATCGTTCACCTCACCCTCATCGTTCGTCTGCCACCTGACGTGATTGCTTTGTCAGCACCCCAAACAATACATTCTTCTTTCATCTCGTTCGTTTCACGGGGGTGGAAAACTCGGTAGTATTTTCTTGTTCCTTCATCCCTTCCACTGATTGTTCAAGAGGTTTGAAATCGGTATCCTTCTCTAAGTCAATTTTTATCCACTCCTCTCTTTGTCTCTTTTTCTCTATCTTTCTTGTAGGCTTCTTCTTTATAAAACGAAATCTCCTTTTCCTCAGTTCTCGTCCTCACAAGCTACTGCTTCATATCATTTGCCATCCTGATTCTTTCAACATGGCGCCTCTATCTATCCCTCCCGCTTCAAACTATCACTCCTGCCGGTATCGTCCCTCATCGCCCTGCCGTGTCCTACAGGATCCTATCCTCCTCTTATCATTCTTCCCTCCCCTACTCTCCCCTCCTCTCCTCTCCCCTCCCCTCCCTTCGCTCAGCCGCAGAGGTCATGTCTTCAACCATTGCTGGCCTCCAACCCATCATGTACACCATCACCCCATCTTCTGACCTATATCGTACCGGTGGTTGTAGAGATTGGGTACTCTTCCCTCCAGTTACATCCCACCCTACCCCATGACAATTCACTTTCATCACCCCACCCCTGACATACCAGACCAAACACTAGTTAACTACCCCATCAAGCCTCGTCATCCTGCAACGAGTTCAGCTTGACTACCCACCCCTGAAGGATCCATGTTTCGGAAACACGATGTTCCATGGACTAGGGTGGTAAATGAGGGAGTATCTGGGGGTAGGGGTAGGTAGCCATATCTATCTTTAGGTTACAAGCATCTCGATCTCCCAGGCGGCACCGTATCTCGTGACGGTCGCCGGCCCGTGCCAGTTCGGGCTCGGACGTGACAAGATCTGCCGCCGTGACCGTGGTCGGACAGGCTCGGCGAGTCCGGGCCCGGCGCGGATCGGTCGGATCGGACGCCGGGCGCCGGGTGGCACCGTCGCCGTGACTGCCGAGCCGCCGGGCGGCGACGCGCCGGGCCGCCGCGGGCCGCCCCCCCGGG